ACACAGGCCGGGGCGCGGCCCGAGCCCGTTAAATCCGCTCCTCAGCCGCCGGGGCCGGAGAAGGCGCTGTTGGGGTCTTGTTCCTAAATGAAGGCTGTTTTTAGAGCTGGGTAGTAATCAAACAGAAAATGACACTTTTTGCAAACTAGTTAAGGCTTTTTTTCTTGTGGTAAGTCCGTTTGATCCTATTTCCTGGCATAAACAGATTGATTAGAGGGACAGAGATGCTTTAAATAGGACCCCTGGGATGTAAATTATTATGCGATGATTATTCCGTGTAACTGCGCTGCGTACGGGTGTCTGTTTGGTGTTACTGTGTCATTCATTAGGCTTAATTAGCATAAAGCAGTCTTAAGAACCCTGTTTCCCTCTAACAGTCAGAAAACTTTACAAACGTCTCCCCTAGGCTGGTTCTGATTTGGGTTCGAATACTGGCAGAGCGCGGACCCTCCCGCTGAACGGAGGCTGTGACGCCTGGGTAGACTTTTCCAAAGTGCGCAGTTCAAATGAAGAGTATTACCTGAAGCTCGAGGAGCTGAAGAACGCCCACGCGGAGACCATGGCGAAACTGGAAAGCCTGTGTCGGAACAGGCTGTGTTTAAAAGGAGTGCAGCCCTTGGGCAAGACGAACGCCGCTTCTCAGGCGCGTGGTAGGTAAGTTTGGTGGTACCTTTTGTCTGAAGATTCTCAGATGCTTTACCGATGTCTGTAAAACAGCAGGCTTCGTTCTGGGTCTGGGGAGTGTTACTCTCCCCGTTTCCTGCAAGCAATCACAGAAAAGTTAGTTTTAGTAATAAAAACGCTCATTCACCTTGCTAACGGACTGTGAGATTTGCGTGCGCAGCAGGGACTGGGCGGTGTGTTCGGTAAAGCACCAGGCGTGTCCTTAACTGTGATCCAGTGCGACTGCCCAGCGTGCTTCTCTTTTCCCTTCTCTTCCCCCAGCACGCTGCTCATTGCTTTGGAATGATGATACCTTAAAGTGGAGTCACTGGCTTTGAGTCAGTGTTGGACTGGACTCAAAACAACATTTTTTTTTCCTTTATTAAAGGCCAGTTTGGGAGAGGAGCTCGTATCAGCCTCTACATGTGCACAGATCCTTTTCAGACTCCGACTTAAGCGGTCCCTTAGGCTCAGGCCTGTCTGATGGGTCTGACAGAGAATTAGCGTTGGAAGAAAAGGACAGCGAAACCGGATCATCATCTGCATTCGCTAGGGAGCGGATTGAAAAAATGTGGGATGGGTTCTCTGTGGAAGAGTACATCTCCCGCAGCAGACACAGCCTGCCGAGCTCGCCAGCCTTCAGAACGATACGGAAGAAACAGAAAGCCTGCTCACCAAAAGTTACTGTGCCCAAGCCTTTCCAGATGACTATTAGAGAAGCTAGGAAAAAGGAACAGAATGTCAAATCCAAGTCACTGATTGAAATGGAAAATAACTTATTGAAGAAGCAACTAGAAGAAGAAGCAGAGTGTCAGAAAAAATTCCGAGCCAAACCAGTGCCTGCTGCCGTCTTCCTTCCGCTCTACCACGAAATCGTGCAGCGAAACGAAGAACGCAGGAGGTCTGTGAAAGAGAGAAGCAGACTCAGGCTCCTGGCTTCTCAGAAGCCGTTTAAGTTCATTGAACGAGAGAAGCAAAGGAATGAAATTAGGAAAATGCAATTAAGGGACCTCTCTGCACCCGACAAGAAAGCAAAACCGTTCAAAGCCAATCCAGTTCCTAAATGTGTCTACAGTCCAGCTGTTAACGACAGGCGGAAGGAGGAAGAGCTCTACAGAGAAATCAGGATCAGAATGAGAGCTGAAGAGTTGCTGCGTAATTCATCGCTACCCAGCAGCAGACTGGCTTTAAAGGGGACCCATAAAAAGAAGAAACACAGGTGCACTGAGCCAAAGGAAATGGAGCAGAAACCCAAGATCAAACCAAGCGTTCCAGATTTTGAACTACTACACCAGAAACTTCAGAATCGGCTCCTGCAACAAAAACAAGTGAAACACCTTACAGTCTGTAAACCTTTCCATCTTCGTACTCCATACATTGCCTCAAACAAGGGGAAGATTTTGAAGGACATTCAAGAGGATGAAGAGAAGTTGAAAGAAACACGCTGGCCATATGCCTCTCCGAGACGTAAACCTCAGATGGGGCCTTTGAACGCACGCGCCTCGGGATTTGGAGAACCTAAATTGCCAAAAAGCACAGAATCCACAAGACAACGGCTACAAGCCATAAGGTGACTACTTCAGTGGTGCTCTGTCTTTGTATACTTTAGATTGCTTTTGTATTTCTGCACGTGCAGTCAGTTCTTCCATACACTGAATAGAGGACTTCATACGTTCAGATGAGGATTAATTATAATAGAAAACTTGAACCATTTAAATATAGGACTTAATTAGTATTTATGATTGTTAGATAGTAGTGCATTTTTCTCAGCACGTCCATAGGAAAGGGACAAATGACTGCTCTTTCCCAGGATATGCCTGAATCGCTTAAAATGCCACATACCTTGTGTCCTCTTCTGCCGACCCTGTTTTCACCCTGTTTTTCGAATCTCCTTTGCCAAAGCTTCCTTTGATGTCTTGCTCTTGGTTTCAAAATGAATTCAGCCTTAGTTTATTTTTCCACCCAGGAATTCCCTTGAGGAAAAGAGAAAGCTGGAAGAACAACAAAAAAGGAACAGCACAAAGCAGAAACAAAGAACGAAAAAACTCCAGAAAATTGTAACAGCTCGGGCTGAGGCCAATGACCCACATCAGAGCCTAGCTCAGATGTCTAAATCCAAACTAAAAACACTCAGGTATTTGGTTGCATTCCCCTGAATCCGGAACTCCCGTTCTACGTTGTATGTTAAACATACAATGTAAAAAGTAGCATAGTCTAAGTTTACATAATTACACATTGGATACATTATACACTGTACAAGCAGCTAGTAAAAACAGTGGTCAGATTTAGTATTTCAACTGGGAAATTGTTGCATGTTCTAATGACTTCAGTCTATATGTTCCACCCTAGAGTATTACAGATTAGCTAACAGCAGGCTCATTGCATTTTCTCAACCGACATACCAGTTAAGAAGTTTAAAAAATCCAAAGGAAAAGGAATAACGTAGTTACAGACTATCCCTGCACTGCTAGGTTGATGGCTGTTGGTACAACGTCGGTGCTAGCGGTCTCCTCAAGTGACAAATGTCTCACGATTCAGTTCTTTGTCCCAGCAGGTCCTCGCTTAAGAGGAAGAAGTTAGAGCAGGAAGGCTGTTTTAACTTAGCACACGTATCAACGGTTAAGCAGGAGGCTGCTGCTCAGGAGGAACGGGACCCAAAGTTAGCTTTAGTGGAGACAGAAATTCAAAGACTGTTTCTACACAACTGAGAGAAGTGGTGCACGGGGAAAACCATCAGGGCCTTCTCAGCGTGCCGGCAGCCAGCAGTCCGGATGGCTCCTGCTCTTTGATGCTGATCTAACTCCAGAACTGCTGCTTGACCTTGTGCTTGAGGCTCATTTAACCATTTCTGCTTCCTCTTCTTGTTAATCCTAGAAAGTGTGTCCTGTTTGAAAGAGTCTTTAGTGAGGTTTGTAACCTGTCCCGGCACGACAGCGCTGCGGCAGTGTCGCCCGCGTAAGGTGCTGCTCTTAGGTGGGGATGTGAGGCACTGACTGCTCTGCTCCCGCTGCTTCACGCATAAGCGGGATTCTTGGGCAGCAACCAGGAATCCTCGTTTCCAGTAACCAGGCAAATTGCCAGCAGCCAACAGTAGCAGGGCAGAACGACACAAGGGTGAGTGATGATGGGATAGGCCTGGTTACAGGATTCACAGCTTGGGCGAGCAATTTTTAAACTGCCATGCTAAACTTTAAAGCGTTTAGAATGTAGCCTCGGATAGAGAACTTTCAGAAATGAGGGTGGAGGCCGGAGCTGTCTTCATGGCTGGGAGTTGGAAGGTAACAAATAAGTTTTCCTCTTTTTTTTTTTTTTTTCCTTTACATGGGTCTCTTCTTTTTTATAGCTAAAATAGAAAACTGAGGATTTATTCTAAATAGACTTTAAACTCTGGGCTGTTACAAGCAAATTTGCAGGAATAGTGTAGCCACACCACCTGCGAGACAGTGCTGCACGTGCTTCCCCCAGCAGACTTCGCAGTGGTGTTCACCACCAGTGTTGCTGTGAGCAGGGAGAGAGAACGCAGCAGAAACAGAAGCATGTGCCTTCGCACGTGCCGAAATCACCGAGTGCGGCAGCGTAATCCAGGATACACCAGGAGCAGCATTGGAACAGGCTTGGCCACACCGACGGGCAGTGGCTGTCCAGCATCCATCTGTGCCCACCCACCCCAGAGCTGAAGCCGAAGCACACCTGGGAGGAAGCATTGGTTTGGGAGAAGCAGGGCTTACGCAGGGTGCTGGAGAGCAGAGATGCAGCGGTAGCGCGGCGGGTCGAGGAGGGCAGCCCCTTCTAACCCCTTTGTTAAGGGTTGGCGCTCAAGCGCGGTTGCTTTTAGAACACAACCAGGAGATGGTGTTAATAACAGGAGCTGTGTAATGTCCTGGGCAGATGATCTGCTGACTCTAGGGCAGAAGCAGAAAACGATTTGAGTTGCAGCAGCAAGGTGGAGAATTAAGAGAGGCAGTGTGGGTGTGTTTACAGATTTGATTTGAGTTCATTCAACAGCGAACTTGGCATTAGAGTATTCAGCTTAATCAGATTTCAGGAGTATTGTGAAACACTCGTGCTTAATTCTTGTCTGCACATAAAATGATGCTATTAGGAAGCAAGATTACTTCCCTAGTGCTGATGCTTTAAGGCTGGTGCAAGTGCTTAACTTGATAATGCTTATTTCAGCATAGGCTGGGTAATAAGGTATATTAATGTAAGTGCTCTTCTAACAGATAATTAGGTTCGTAGAAAGCCGCCCGAGAGAGCAAGCGAGTAGCAACAATGAAGTTCACTCCCTGAAAATGGTGAATAACTTGCCTTAATGCACAGCCACATTGCAGAAATTCCGAGGATGGCAGGGGAAAGAGGCAGGAGGAGTCAGAAGTGTAAAATGTCCCCTAGCTCCCATACTTGCCCTTCGGGGTCTGAGTGAGCAGTGCTAGAGCTGGCCCAGCGCAGAGCCAACGTCACGACGAGGCGCCTGTGTCGCACACCGAGGATTACACCCCGTGCTACCGGGATTATCCAGTGCGTCCTGTGATCCGAGATGTCGTTTCGGTTGATGAATCAACAGTTTCATCGTCTGGCTAAATGAACTGGGCCCTTGACAAACCAACTAGGGATAAAAGTGCACTGTGGTCCAGAACGTGACCACTCCTTCTGTGAGACAGACTGGTAAAGCTGCAAGATTCTTATCATCAAACTTTACCCTAAAGTACTGTTTTTTATTTAATTATATTAATTTCTTGTGTATTCTGATTTTATCAGTCATTTCAAACTGTTTAACTTTGCTTAGGACAGGTGGAATGTCTTTGCAAAATCAGCATTTGAAAATAACCTAGGTGTCTACACTTGGGGGAAAAAAAAAAACCCTAAGTATCCAAAAAAAACCTAAGAATCAAAACTCAGCCCCTATTTCACCTCACTAGCCAGGACCTCTTGGCTTATCCAAAGTGGCTGCTTCAGAGACAGTTTTGTTTGGTCGTTACAGGCAAGCAATTGCTGTGAAAATGAGACAATAACCGCTGTAAAAGGACTTACCATTTATGTATCTTTAAGCAGGACAATATTTAGTTTGTTACGAACAATTTAACTTCCAGCTGCTGTAGAAAATTACTTCTTGTGTTATAAATTAATAATGATTTCTCTTGTGCTCTGTTTCACATAGGAATTATGAGAAGCAGAGAAGGCAAGAATATTTGCAAGAGTTGCAAGAAATGGAAGAAAGAGTAAATCAAAGGCCATTGCTTTTTGAAAGAGTCGCTCAGGTTGTTCTACTTCTGTATTTCTGAATCTTACCTTCAGACACTGCATAAGGCATTGGTAGTCATCAAACATTTTGAGAAGATATTTGAAAAATACTTGAGAGACCGGTATTTGTCCGTTTCAATCTCTGCTGCCCCGTCTCCATATAGACGTCACAGATTTTGTGACTGAGCACTCGTGGCTTGCCTGCACGGGGAGCAGAGACGGCTGCTCTGAATGTCCTGTCCGACTCGGTTACAACACGGGTGACTCTAAACACAACGAAGAATCAAAGCAAAGATGTGAGAGGTTTAAGTTGGGAAGGAAGAGATGAGAAAATGAAGTAGCGTTAGAGTGTGCTGTAAAGCTCAGGTGCAGTATTGTTACCTCTCCATTTCTCCACGAGCTGGTAGCATGGTCCCTGACCTGCTTCCAAACCCAGAGGGGCAGCGAGTCATGGATCACTGGTTCCCTCGTCCCTTCTGCCTGTGCGGGTTTCCCGGTCTGCCGTCGCTGCGGGGCAGGAGCATCTGTGTAGATCGGAGGACAAATCCACGTACTACCTGGAGGAACAGAATTTACGCCACAGGCAGAGATGCACATCCCCATAATTTGTTAAATAGCGCTGCAAGAAGTTGCATCAGTACTGTGTTGTTAGGGTAGCAGCTCCCAGAGAGGGGACAGGGGAAGAGCAGGGATAAGGGAGAAGCTCTGGGAAGACTACATCTGATTCTCTACATGTTCCTATCTTTTCCTTCCTCCCTCAATAGCTGTATACAGAGTATAGGAAAAGGAAAATCTGGTGTAGAATTGTCAAGTATTGTTCTGCCATTCTTACCTGCAGCGCATCATCATTCAACTTGTCGGATGCAATTAATGAAACACAGTATTCATATAAACGAGTATCAAAAGACAGTCATATCATGCATTTAGATAACGCATAACCATTGTGTTTTTCCTACAGAAAAATGCCAGAATAGCTGCAGAAAAGCACTATTTTAACAGACTGAGAGCGCTGGGGATATGCCCAGGGTTTCTTTCAAAGAAAGAACAAACAACTAAGTTGCTCCAGTGCTCCAGTGCTGAAGATTTTAATAACACCACTGATGCCAGAGAAAGGTAGAGACTACTGAAGGCGCCATTTTTTTGCCAATACCTAGTAATTAGAAAATGATTTTTCATGTGAGGGGTTTGTTGTTGTAGTATTTCCCAGCTAAATATTTGACTGTGTCATTAGCATTATTAATGCTAGCATTAGTATATTTTTAATTGCTTTTCCTGAATTAAATAAACCAGAGAACAGCACTGGATATATTATGTTTTGCACTTGAAAGCAAAATCAAGAGAAACTTTTTTTTTTAATTTGTTTCTTTCACCAAAAATTCTGGGAAGTTGCTAGTAAGTCACTTCATTCTGCATTGCTTTTACAGAATTTTTAAAATAAACCTTATAAAAAAAATATTTTTCAGTATTCATTGGGTGTTAGATCAAAGGAAGTGGAAATGAAAAAAAATTGAAATATGTAAGCAATACTATTGAGTGACTTTCTAATGTAAAACAAGGCTCTAGTATCCACTCCCTTCCCTTTTCCTTCACCACTTCCACACCAGCCAAGTCTACAGGGTTTTGCCCTAGATAACCTGGAGGTAGTATTCCTTTTAAAACATACTGGAAAGCATCCTACCTGAAAATAACATCACACCTGCAACTTGTCTTTTCAGAGTGATCAAGGATAAAGTGAAAGAAAGGGAATCCTTTGAGGAAGCACCTGACAGCACTCCTCAGTCCCAGCAGTCCTGCAAGGAGGTGGGAGAGAAGAGGAATGGTGTTGAAGCCTCCAGCCAGGGTGGCCAGTGCAGTGAGGTGGAGGATGAGGAAGAGGGAATAGCCAGCCCTCATGCTCACCAGCCTTGCCATGCAGGAGAGGCTGGGCCCAGCCCTCCCTCTGACCAACACCTCGAAGAGGAAGAGGAAGCAACAGCAGGCCTGCCACGTGGCCATTCCCAGGAGGAGGAGGAGGAAGATGATCAGTCAAGACCCAGCTCTCGGTCTGCCCAGTCGTACGAGCATGAAGAGGAGGGTCAGTCAGACCCTGAAGCTGAGGATGCCTTCAGGTATGAGGATGAGGAATATGAAAGTGACGATTCAGAAGAGAAAACCAGCGGTGATGAAGCTGGCTGAAGGGAAGGCAGCCAGGGTGGGCTGGTGCTCAGGAACCTATTTCTCCAGTGAAGTAAGACACCAAAGAAAAACTTGGCTTTTTGCTCCCCATATAAAATTCTGTGAATTTAACGCTCTTACCTTAAACATTTTTTCACCACAGAAATGTCCATTTGCCAGTAAGAAAGTTCAAGTTACTAATTCCTGCCAAGAAAATAATTTTGGTTTATATTCATCTTTATTCTGGTCTTCTGTGACATTCGTGTACCTCTGTTCATAAAACGAACCACTGTTTAACAGTGTCTGGCATGCTGTGTGGGTGAGTACTGAGGTCTTACTGTGCCCAGCTCTCTGCGTGCTGGCAAAGCCAGATGAGATTTTGGGGCAGTAATTTGCAGTTATCGGTGCCCCCCCAGCGTCAAACATTTCAGCACCTCTGGCGTCTGTTCCTGCAGTGTCTTCTGGGACGGTGATGAACAGACAAGGGTGTGTTGTGCATGACCTCTGCCTGTTCTCAGCAGAGCCCCTGCTAGGACGACACCTTGTTGCGCAGTTAGAAAAGATGGTTCAGTTCTTCCCTCTTCCTTCCATGGGGCTCATCTGCTGCCCACTTAGGTAAGCTGAATCGGCTCAGAGAGGGGTCACATGCGTGCCAGAGCCAGAAAAGGTGACTGCTTTGGGAGGAAACAAGCGATTGTATCAGCTCAACTACTTGGCCCAGCTAAGATACTAACAGTATTGCAGTTGCTGAAGGCTCTCCCTAGAGAGGAGAAAATGCCTACAGTACACTGAGAGGAGCCACTTGAACTTTCACGGGGACTTTTAGCACTTATGGACAAGTCAGGTAGAAGAGTAAGTCAGCAGAATAGTAAGTTATGCTGCTTAAGATCTTGTGTTGCTTCTAACCAAGCCCCAAAATTGTTCTTTAAACTCCCATTTTGTTTTGAAGAGCTCTTCCCATGAGGGGGTAAAGTCATCCTTCATAACATCATAACAGATGCTGACAATCTTCAATTTCCTCATTGGACAGTAAACTGTACACTGTAAGGAGAGAATCTTTTTTACGTCAGGTAAAAATGTTGCCCAACAACTCTACTTGCATGAAAGTATGGCAAGAAGTGTGTTAGGACCTTTTCTTACACCCGTCCTACTCAGGACTTCAGCTACTGTACAATGAATGAAAAATAGAAGGTTTGGGGTTTGGTGTTTTCTCCCTTCTCTCTCTCAGTAGCACCTTCTCCTCCTCGTACCGGCTTCCTTGCTAACCTGCTCTATGCCGTGCTAGGGAAGAATGCATCCACGTAGTGACAGACCACCACCAAGGACTGCAGGCAAGCTTTGTCGGGGCAGAGTACAGGGTGGCATTGTACAGGTGCTCAGAACATGTTCACGGAGTAGTAAATGCATTTGTGAAACCTACCGGGTTTGCAAAAGTATCTGCAGTGACTAAGAAGGATTTTTTAAATTACTATTTTCTACCACACTGCAAGCAAGAGCACTATGTAAATCTGTTAACTATTTCTTCCTCCTGACTTTGAGAAAGTGTGTAACAATGTTTGGAATTTGTAAACATTATAACTTTTATTTATTTTTGAAGTGTGAGCGTAACTAATATGAATTTGAAACTTATTTTTTTACTTAAATAAAATACCCATTGTATATATGTCATACATGAAAGCAGTAATCAATGCTTCACAGGGAGAATCAGTTTACACTCTCCAGGTATACCTGACAGCCCTACAAGACAAGCTCAAGGCTGGTGTTTGTCAGTATTCTGTGATTCCGAAGAGTTGTACACTATGTTATTGAATTCATAGCCATGTATTCCTGAAACTTGTCTCTTCAGGAAATCAAGTTTTTCTTGGTGTTTGTCAGTATTCTGTGATTCTGAAGAGTTGTACACTGTGTTATTGAATTCATAGTCACGTATTCCTGAAACTTGTCTCTTTAGGAAATCAAGTTTTTCGGAAAGAAGGCAGTGGAGCTCTGAATTTTGTTTTTCTCCAAGGTTTTTTGTAGAGATTTCAAATCAGAAAAAATTCAGATGCATCTCTAAGCTGTGTCAACACTCAACTAAGTGATCTAAAAGATCATAAATATGTAATTATTGAACTATTAAGATAGAGACTAAAAATATTACTAAAACTCCTTTGAACACAAAGGACATGGCAAAAACAATGTGGTAGGGTATTTTTAAGGTTTTAGAAGTGTTGGGGACCTACGTATAATTTCAACTGAGTTTTCCACTGAATTTTTACTGTATTAACCTTAATAACAACAGAACTAACAAACACTGATAAATATGACATAACAAGGAAGAGGTAGTACAGCTTTTGGAGTTAGGCCTCAACTTCTTGAGACTTCTGAAAAAGTCACAGAATCATAGAATGGTTTGGGTTGGAAGGGACCTTAAAGCCCACCCAGTCCCACCCCCTGCCATGGGCAGGGACACCTTCCACTAGCCCAGGTTGCTCCAAGCCTCATCCAGCCTGGCCTTGGACACTCCCAGGGATGGGGCATCCACAGCTTCTCTGGGCAAAGTCAAGCAGAATCATCTGGACTAAGGGGATCCAATTCATACAGGTCACCTAGATTTCCAGGAAGCATTTAACACAATTTTCTATCGAAGGATCTTAAAGAAACCAACCTTATTGTAGGAGAAGAAAGGTCTTTACGAATGAGTAAACAATTAAAAGTTCAGGAAAGCAAAGGTCAGTTTTCACGGTATAAACGCAGCTCATCGGCAGGCATGCAGCGAGTTTCAAACTGTTCAGCAGTCGCACAAGGGATCTGTCATATCCATTCCAAAGAGTTTGCTGAGGCCACAGAGTTGGTCAGTGCCATGAAAAAATGCAACTGCAAAGAACATGCCAAAGGATCTTATGACAGTGGTAGAAAGAGATGCAGTTCAGTTTCAGTAACTACAAATTAATGCACATGAGGGTAAAAAAAATACCCATGAGGGTAAAAATACCCCTAAGCCATACAATACTCTCTGCGGAATAAAGGCAGTTCTGTCTTGAACACTGCGGGCAGTCCTGGTCCTCCTGTCTTAAGTGGGATTTACTGTGTAACTGGAAGAGGACAACGAGAATGTTCAAAGACAAAGAATGGCTTTCATATGACAATATATAGTAGGATTCTTTGATTTGGAAAAGATAAGAGCACTTGAACTTTGAGATATTAAAGGAACCAGTTATGGAAATCACTGAGTGGCACTCAAAGTGGAAGAACCATGAAATTAAGTCAAAACACCTGTTCAGAAATCACATTACAAACAAAGGGATGAACGTTCCAATGAGAATTAAAAAGGAAAGAAATAACAAAAATCAGAGATGATGGAACAGAAATGGGGAGAGACAGGTCAGGTTGAATTAAACCTCATGAAGCAAAGCACAGCCGTGAAAGATTCTTCAAGCAAAGAATAAGAGGCACGGACACCACACTGTCATGAGGTGAACAATTGGCTGGCCTTAAAAAACAAGTATTTATTTGAATTTGGTGGGTTTGGGGTTGGGTTTTTTGGGTGGGTTTGGTGTGGGGTTTGGGTTTTTTTTGTGTGTCAGGAGAATAATTTAAAATATAAACCAAATGGGAAGGAGCTAATAGGATGATGGCACTGAAATGAAAATTACTATATTTAAGGAAAAAGCCAATAGCCTCGACATAAAAATCCACATCCAGGTGAATTTGGTAAATTACCACAATGCAGAGTAGTACCACAGGGAAGGAGAACAGAAGATGTAGTATTTTGTCAGCACTCAAAATGTTTTGATGCAATTAACATGGAAAAGAAGGATTCTCAGAAGCTGATGTAAGAGAAGCATTTTAAGGTAAGAAGCTTATTAAAGGAGAAATGACGATCAGTTACATTTTCAGGGAAGCTACCTAACAGGACAGAGATGTATAGAAAGGTTTCTCACAGATATTTGAATATTCTGTCTTTAATATTTTAATTGATGGCCAAAGTGCAAAAGTAGAAACATGTTCAGAAATTTGCAAAGAAAATGAGAAAGGTGTATCCAAAAAAAGGATTAAAAATACCACATGGGAAGAGAAGGGTAACTTTGCATGTGGACTGTAGTATTAAATAAGAATCTAAAATTGCAAGAATAACCCTTCTTTAATGGGAGTTCATGACTTGACACTGTAAGGACAGAGACCTAGCTGACTTGTTCAGCAGATGATACTCAACCACAAGATGTGATCATAAAAAAGGCGATGGAATCGAAGGATGTGCCAGACACAGTATTTCCAGCAGGATTGGAGGAATGGTCCTTTTATTTCCACAACTCCTACAGATCCCATTCTGGGTTTGTAAGCGGTTCTCATGGTACTGAATGTGAGCAATAGCCTCGGCTGGAAACGCTGTACTAGACTTCCCCCCGTGTATCTGATCACATCTGCGGCAGGTTCCCGCTGAGATAAGCCGTAGCCACATCCACGGCGCAGGAGGAGGTTGGTGTTACAGGCAGCCTGAAGGGTCAGCATTAGCGCTCGCTCCAAGGCACTAGCTTGCAGGCGTGTGTCCTTTGCAGGGATACACATCCTAGGAAAGGGATACAGATGGTGGAAGTTCAGTGCTCGCAGGCAGCGTGGTTGCTATGGGAAGGCTCTGGTGCCTGGTGAGCCCAAGCTGAAAACGGTCATAAAGTCATAGGACCTGCACTGTAATAAGCGTGTGCGTTTACTGAAGTGTAGAGACATCAGAAATGATGTTTTTAGCACGGGTAAATTCTCTGCTGAGTAAACCAAATAGAAGTACAAGGCCCATAGAGAAATAAAAATTACTCTAAGTTACAAGCAGATGCAGTTCCCAGGGTGACTGTTCAGCACCCTGAATACAGCCCTCAAACGTTAATACTGACAGGTTGTATATCTGTATATATACTGCTAATTCTAGCTAAATAATTATATATATTTCCAAGTTTTGAATTAAGAAGCCCACGGTTTTGGATATCGTGCTTTTTCTGGGTGAAATGTAACGTTGTGGTACTGTTCTGAGGGAAGACAACAACAAC